GCAGTTGGCACAGCGTCTGTCTATTCCGCCATCTTACCAGAAGTCGCAAAGCAGTAACTCTTGAAGGAGAAAAACATGGGGAGACTAAGACAGTGAGGTTTGGGGCGCGGGAGGAAGGCTCAGTGCTGCTTCAGGAAAACAACGTTTAGATACAAGAGGTTGGGGTGTGCTGGTCTTGAGGATGAAATGCCAACAGGAGTGGGGGCAGGAGGGTAGGAGGAAGAGGAAAGGTACAGACGACTCACATACTGCATGGGTGACAATCAAAGGATGCTAATGAGAGGAAGATTGCAGCTCTTAAAAGCTCAATTGTTAAAATACAGAAAGAGAAAGAAATGCCAACTAGTTACAACCTTAATTTCCAAAGTGGTGGGGTCACAAACACATTGATTCCTGGTAGAACAAAAGCAGCTGCTCAGTTGAAGGTAATTATGTAACTGGGGATCTGGTGGAGGGTTAGGAAGGCAGGTGGGGACACCAGCACCGTCTCGGGGGCTCTGTGTTCCCGCCTCTGTCACTGTCACATCCAGGCAGGGCCATAGTCCTTGCATTCAGCATCCAGGGACAGATGGCAATAGCTGATGTGCCGCCAGCAAGGGGACCGTCAGTTATACCGTCTCTCCTTCTGCCTCACCTTCCCCCGCCTTTGTGTGTGTGTGTGTGTGTGTGTTTCACCTTTAAATAAGGTTCTTACACATCACAATTAAACAAGGGGCCCAACTTCAACCAATTGACAAACTTCATCCTTGAGAGGTTCATATGATAAAACTATGTAAAGTAGATTTTAAAATCATCTACATAAAAGTTGTATTATACTTCTAAATCTCATCACCTCTGTTAATAATCTTATTAAAAACTTCCCCATTATTAAATAAGATATCATAATTTTATTAGAAACTGCCCCATCACCACCTGTTAGGGAGATAGTGGGAACCAGATTTAAGAAATCTTCACCTGCCAACCCAGCTCCTGTCACACAGACAGGGCAGGTGGTCTTCAGGTCCCCTTCCCCGAGGAAGGAGGCTGCTTCTCAGGTGGGAGCTGGGCCTGCGGTAAACAGGCCAGTGAACAAGCCCCAGGACCTCTGTCCTTGAGAGACGCCCTGATGACCCTCATTTTTCTTAACAAACAGCCTAGAATAGGACGCTGCGATCAGAGAGCCCAGGCCACCAAGCACCCTCTCAGGCCTCCCCGGTGGGCAGAGACATGTCGGATGCCCAGACCCAACTGGGAAGCTCACAGGGAAACCCCATCAGGGCACCAGTCAGAGCTTGCTGGACATGTCAGCACTTGGGAGACGGGAGCTATTCCATATACACAGGGTGATAAGTCAGCTGGTAAAGGAGCGCAGAGTCAGGCAAGTTAAGAAAGTTTAAGAAAGTCTATTTTATTAAGAGAGAGTCTATCGGGCTGAGCAAAGATGGCTACAGCCCAGGCTGCACGTCTAAAGGAGACTTGCAGCCCTGAGGGAGGGGGTGAAGAGGGTTCTATAGGGGCGGTGCTGACAGGGTAGCATTGTTTGAACAGAAAATGCTGACTGCCTGTAAGCCAGTAGCTGTTTTGTGGTGTTTTCTGTTATCGCAAGTTTGGCTCTTGTCTGCAGGTGCAGGCCAACAGACATTTTGTTGCTTTCTTGCAGACATGGCTCTGTCCATAAGTCAAGGTCTCTGAGACCTACCATTCAGATACCTAACATTAAGTCCAGGTCTGTAACCTTCAGAGACCTAACAGAGGGAACAGCAAGCTTCTGGAAACAGGCAAGTCACTCAGTTCTGCCCTTCAGCTGGAAAGAAGAGAACTGGCAGAAAAGGAAAAGGTTTTCTGGGGTCCATGGAGAACTAGGAAGCCAAGGCCCAGCTTGTGGAGCAGAGATTTTATGAAGGATGCCACTCCAGGCTCCAGAGGTCAGAGCCGGAGCATGCCTGGTTGCTAGGCAACAAGGACCTTGTCAATCAGCTCCCGCCAACATGTCCTGCGCGGGCTCCAGCTCCTGGGAGGGCGAGCGTGAGGCAGCCGCGATGGGCAGTCCAGAAGAGCACAGGGTGGGAAAACAAGATGGCCTTCAGGCTTAGTGGACAAGGACAGACTCTGCCACCCTCAGCAGTGGCCACTGAGGGAGGTGGAGGCTGAGGCAGCCTCGGCGTGGCCTCAAAGGCAGCTCGGAGACAGCATGATGACAACTAAATACAAGAAAGTCCCCTCCAGAGGGGACACCAGCAGCTCTGGTTTTAGCTGCAGTCTGGACAGTCGGAGTAGCGAGCAAACTGGAGAAAGCTTTGTGGATGGCGGGCCACCGCCGGAGTGGGGGACCCCAAGGGACCTCTTCATGTGGTGCAGTCATCCCAAAGATCAGACACTGGCAGGGAATCAGAGGCACGTTTCTTCAGTACAGTCTGTGGAGGGACTGGGGGCACCCCAAGAAGAAAAGAGCAGCCCTAGGGCAGCGCCCCAGCCCGGAGGGTGTGCCAGCGGAACTGGCACCGCTGACCCAGGCACAGGCCGCCCGAGGCAGAGGGCTTCCTGGTGAACGAGGACCCAGGTGTCTGGGGACAGAAGCCAGTGGCCTGCAGCCCACGCGTTTTCTCCTTCAAGATGACTTGAAACAGCCTCCCCACAGCCCCTCGGAGAAGGAAGTGAGGGCTCACACTGCAGGAGCCAGACGCAGGGTGCAGGAGGGGGCTGGAAACGAGCCAGAGCATTGTCACCTCCAAGGACAAACTCCTTCCCTGTCCCGCCCGCTCATCCTCAGCAGTTACTTGTAACTCACTGGGGCTGTCTTACCCTTGACCTCACACGGCCCATGAATTGGGGATCAAATGCTTTTCCTCCTCCACACACACCACAGGCAAGGTGGGACTGAACAGGACGTGGACCTGGACACATGGACACAAAGGAATACAGGCTGGGCTGGGCCAGGTGACTCCACACTGAGCACTTTCTAAGGAGCGCTATCGGGAAGGACTTGATTCTGGGATGCTTCGGCCACTACTGCTCTTCCTGTAAAAAGAGCAAAAGACAGCAAAGTGGGCCATGTTAGAGCACTCATTTCTCCAGTGGCTGGGGGAGAGGACAGGAAAGGGAACCTGGCCCTAAATTTTGACCTTTTTACAATAAAAACAAGCAAATGAAGCCTGGCTGCCTGGAGAACCAGGCAGTCTGTCTCTCTCTTCCTCTCCCTCCGCCCCCTTGACCCAGGGGGGCCCTCGGGAGCCTCCCAACAGTCAAGTGAGGAGAGTGCTGACTGACCAAGCACACTTACCTGGCCTGATGATGAGGAGAGAGCCCTGATTTGAGTCGGAGGCAGGAGGCCTGGTTTCCAGCTTCATTTATATAAATGTATATAAATACCACGCCAGCGTAATCTTAGGGAAAGTGTCTCGCCGAGTGTGACCTGTTTCCTCATCTATAAAATGTGGGCTGGACATGACCTTTTAGGTCATCTTTACCCCCAAACTTCCACAATGCAACGTTTTGTCAGAAAAGCAGACATTGGAGGGCTGCCCTTCAGTAAAACGTCTTTGGTCCTTTGTCCCACCAGCCGTCAGTCCAGAGGTCAGTTACCATTTCGACTATTTTTCTAATCCAAGGCAGTTAAAATCTTTCTGTAAAATAGTGCAGCCACTGGCAGTTTCTCAGAAGGGTCGGGCATGTGACGTGGCAATTCTGCTGTATACAGAGTCAGGAGTAAGAAAATGTGCATGCACGTAAAAACTTGTACACACATGATCACAGTAGCAGTGTTTATAAGAACCAAAAAATGAAGCACAAACATCCATCCAATGAATGAAAAAAACGTGCTGTGTCAATACGTTATTCTGCCATAAAGAGAAATGAGGTAACTGCGAACACCGGGAATCATTATCCAAGTCAGAGGTCGGCAAAATGCGGCTCGTGAGCCACATGCGGCTCTTGAGGTATGTTCCGTCTCAAAAGTTTGCCGACCCCCGTTCTAAGTGAAAAATGCCAGGCAAAAAAGTACCATTGACTTAAAAATGTCAGCAATAGGCAAATCTATGGACAGAAAGTAAATTAGAGGTTGCCAGGGACTGCGGGGTCGGGAAGGGAGGAGCAGAGGGGAGAAAAGTCACTCCTCATTAGAACAGTTTGTTTTTTTTCAGTGATGGAAGTGTTCTGGAAATATGTGATGGTTGCAAGATTTTGTGAATATTCTAATAGCCACTAAGTGTGCACTTTAAAGTGTGGATTTTATGTTAGGTGAAGTATATCTTAATTTTAAAAATTAAGACAAGGAAAAGCACCTCTCCATTTTGAGGAGGGTGAGATTTCACCTGTGAAATCCCCTGCTGGGAACCCATGCTTTTCAGGATGTCTTGTTACAGGTTGTGCAGCATCTGTACCTGAACGTCACTGAGTCCTGACCACCAGCCATCAGGTATACTTGCCTACGACCCGCGCCTGGGGCCGGGACTGACCCCATGGGGCGCAAAGGGCCCATCCTCATTTTCCACGGTGTCCTGATCTGGGAGGCGGCTCGGATGACTGTTCCAGGCCCTGTTCAGCGGCACCTAAGCATCTGGCGTGGAGGGTTGATGTGTGGCTATGCTGTTGGGTTCTGGCCAAATGGCATCCATAGTGGTGGGCGCTCCACTGAGCAGAGAAAGCACGGATTGCCCGACAGACGTGAGGGCGGCAGCAGGGGTGGTGTAAGACACCTGTGCCCATCTCCCCTGGGGAGGATGTGGCCACGGGGCTCCGGGTGGGCAGAGCTCATGCACAGGGCAGGGCTGGGGCGGCCACGGGGGTTTTGCTGCCTGGGACGTTGTGCTTATCATCCTCTTACTAATCCACAGGCTGCGATGAGCCAGTGATTCTTGCGAGCCACTAAATATATTCAAGTACTTAAAAATAAAGCCCATTTTGGGGGCAAGGGGAGACAGGAGGAAGACAAGGAGACAGAGGCCACCTTCTGTGAAAAACGCAGCAAACTTCAGCGAAACTTCTCCTGGATGCTGCGTCATTTGCAGTCCTTCCTTCCCCAGGTGATGACTGACAGGCAGTGGGCAGAGAAAGCCAATCCTTTCACAAAGGCATCACGATCACAACTGCTTCGTGGGACAGGCGCCAAGACCAACCGCCACCAGGAACCTGCCCCAGTTCCAGGGAAGGCTTATTAAAAACTCCAGCGCCTTATCACTGTTCAGACAAGACACCCGCGTGCTGAGCTGCAATGAGGGCCACCTTGTGGTCAGAGGCAGTTTGTGGGCTGATAGTCTACAGGTGAGGTGCTTTTTAAATGGGTCTTGAGAAATGCGAAGCAAGCAAGACAGGTGAAGATGCGGGCGGGATGTGGGGAGACGTGCACAGAGGGCTGTGGGTGCCGGGCGTGGGCACTTGCTCCCAGGGGACAGTCAAGTGGGTGAATGATGCAGCAGGGGGGGCACTGCCGAGGCAGCTGAGGGACTTCAGGGATTGGGGTGGAGGTGGTGCTTCTGAGGCTGAAAATAAACGGCAGGTGAGGACGCAGGTAAGAGGTTTTCAGGTGTGCTCCCTGCCAGGTGCCAGATGCCCTGGGCCTGGATGGAGTCTGAGCGAGGTATGGTCTGGGGAAACCGCAGTTGAGCAGAGAACTTTGAGGGCAACAGGTGTGTATCCAACCGGAAAAGGAGCGGCCAGAGGAGCCGACCTGAGCTCTGGGTGCTGTGTAGAGTGGCGCCCTCAAGCGGGACACCTCAGTGGCGCACAAGGGGGTTGGCACTTCGTCCTGCTGCAGTGGCTGACAGATGGCAAGCCCAGGAGGACTTGAAAAGGGAGGGAAGCCTGGGTTCACGCTAACCTTCCCAAGGAGTTCTTTACAGACTAAGGCTGCGGGGACAAGATGGCAGGGAGGGAGAGGCCATGTAACCGAATGCTTCGGTGGCCCAGGGGAGGGGCGGGAAGGATGGAGATGGTCCTTAGAGGCTGGTGGGAGGCTAAGAAGTATTTATTGAAGCAGGAAAAGGGGATCAAGACCAGACAGAGCAGCATTGGGAGGGCGCTCCTTCCTGAGTGAATGAAATTCTTGGGAAACCCTCTAAAGGGGCCTAAAACCCTGCATGAATGGAGTCTTGCTGCCAGGATATCGCCACCTGAGCTTTTTAACAAGACACCTGTGCCCCGGGGGAGGGGGAGTAACCAGCAAGTTGTGTGTGAAGCCCGGTGTGTGTCCCCATGTCCCCAAGCCAAGCTGGGAGGCTGTCACTGGAAACCCCTCACTGGCGGAAGCTGCCAGGCTCGAGACGTTTGGCTGTGTTTCTATATCGCGTGTGTGAAATGGTCTGTAATATAATGTAAAAGAGTTTCTGTTTTATTTGGAAAGCCAACTATTGGGTTGTTGGGAAAGTCATGACGTATTTTTCGTTAGTGTTTCTTTCCCCCCAAGCTTCCTGGGGATTGTGGTCTGATCCGAGAAAGCTGGGCAGGAAAGTCCCTCCCTAGCTGCCACTGGGGAGCCGGCGTGGCCATGACATCAGAGACACCTGCTGTCCCTGCTCCCCAAGGTGTCTTTCAGTGACATTCTAGTCATAGCAGTAAAAGGGGGCAGTGAAAGTAAAGTGGGGACATGCTCCAAGCAAGGGGGAAGAGCTGGTCTGGATAAACTTGAAGTCTTAAGGGCAGGTTCATTCTGCAGCTGTTTAAGTCTATTCCCCGACACTTGGTCACCACTCACCAACTTCACAGACACAAATGTTACAACAACTTCAATACCGTAGAGGTAAGAAGACTTGAGAACTGACGAGCACACATTTCTTCACGAATTTATTATATAAAACGCCCCAGAGATTGATCGTCTCGCTTCCATTACACACAAGAAGCACACGGAGGACTCAGGCCCGTTACGGTGACCGGTCTCGTGAGGGTCCCTGGCGTCAGTGTTCTAAAGGCTGGCCCGGAAAAACCCCACGTCACCTTGACACAACATGGAAAGCATGGTCTTCTTCGTCCACTAAATTATGGTGAAAATGTCACTGTTTTATTTAGCATTATGGTACATAACAGTTCTATATCAATTACTAAAAGAATTAAAATAATCCCGAAAGACATCCTTTTTTCCCTCCAATGATTTGAACACTGTATTTTTCCTGCCAATTTCCAACAAACCATCAGGCTGATAGTGAGTTAAAACAATCAAGGCACAAGCTCAGCACGTTAGCTGTGGCTTGTAGTAGAGATGATATATCAATGTCTCTCCTTAGTGAAAAATACATAATCCTTTTATTTTTCTATTGCAATAAAAGAAACTGACATCACCGACACAGGAGACTAAAGGGGAGAGAACTTACTTGTGAATGTCCAGTGATTCAAACCTATCGGCACTTTCCACAGTACTTAAAGGAGTATTTAACACTTTTGGACGTAAAATTTAATCTTTGGGGACATATAATGCAAGGACTTAGGAGTAATAGTTCCGTCATTTCCAGGTGACCACAGAGAACAAGGCACAGCAGCCGTCCTTTCCTTTATGCTGGACACTGACCACGTGACCACGTGCCTCGAGAAAATGGCTGGTTAGATAAGGTGATGGTAACACAAGGGAGCACTTTGGATTGTCTATTTAAAATGCAGGTAACAAGTCACCAAAAATTTATTTTAAGTGCACTTTCACATGCTTTGTGTTTATAATAAACAACAAACGTCCTAACTTTCTTGCAACAGGCTTGACTAACCACTTCTTTTGGCCAAATGCACTTTTCCCCAGGAAACGGAAAACAACAACACAACAACAAGAAAAAAAATCCCTGTCTTTCCGTCAACTAAGAAAGACGATTGGCTACTGAGACAGCTCACTGCGAGACACATGAAGACACAGGCCGGGGCGTAGGGCGCTGGGATTCGCTGTGCTGTCACTGCAGGTAAACATCCGAGCTCTCCCTTCTATCTTTATTGATCTCAGATTTTGCACAGAAACTCTTTGGGGGCTAGAACAGCAGCAATCGCATCACACTGTTTTCAAGACTTCAAGTTTCAAAAGCAAATTGTTAAAAAAAAAAAAAATACAGTTCCTGATTTGAGTTAGATACAGGGACCCAAATAGCACAGACTTGAAGGTTACATGGTCTACAGATGGTGGCAATAGTTCCTTAGGGAGTAGTTCTGTTGGTATATATGTTTTCAATACTCAAAAGGCTCAACCTCAAGCAGTAATAAACACAAGCAAAAGTGATTTAACCATTAAAATAAATATTCAGAAAAACCTCTCTGTACATACAAGTGAAAGAATAAGTAACACTTTCACGCAAAAAAATAATAATATAATAAAGGATTTGTTCACGTAAGTAGCTGAAATCTGCTGTTGCAGCCCACGTGTCCCCAGTAGAGAAGGGGACACACGGGGTGACCACTGCGTTCACTACCTCACAGCCTTTTGGACCCGGACACCATCACCACCAAGTTTATCCCTCTTGTTGTGTTTATTAAAGTCCTCAATTTCTTTTTCTTTCCTTGTTTTCTTTTTTCTTCTTTTTCTTTTTCTTTTTTTTTTTTTTACAGCATGCCAAATCCTTTGGCATACGTGATGGCCTTCAACAATCTCTCTTTCAGTTTTTCTTTGCTTGAATATTCCGGAAGTAAAAGGACATTAAAGCAAGTATGAGATGTAGGCAACCTGAATAGAGAGAAAGGGGGTGAGAAGTCAGTGATGGAGTGCGGTCAGCATCCCGGGGCGTCTTGGGGAGGGCGTGCAGTGCAGACCCCGCATGAACAAACGCCAAGCCGAAGCTCTGTGAGCTGTGCAGCGACCCGCGTCAGCGTGAGCTTCCGTTAGGACTAGGTGCTGATGAGGAGCGGGTGTGGTTTCAGATCCCTCACCCAGAGAGCTCATTTACCTGAGTCCTTTCACAATAAACCCCAGGACGGGCGCCAGCTCTCTGCTGCGGAGCTGAAGTCACTGCGGGGTTAAGGCACTTACTCTAAGCTTGAGTGTGTGTGTAAATTTGGCCTTCAAGACTGGAAAGTCTGTGCTCTCAAATGTATATTGGAAATATTCCCAGCAATATGACCACGTAAATGATTGGATAATATAAATACATTTACTTTCTTTCCACGCATTTAAACCATTAAATATGCTCATGTATCATGTATGGTCCTTACTTATCAAAAATGTCAACTTATACAATGGAGAGAGGACACATTTAATGCAGAGATGATGAAATTGGGGATTCTAGCATAACTGAGTGCTAAACACTCTCCTGAGCCTCAACTTAACTATTCTGAATACATTACAGAATATGGCTTTCAATTAAAAACTTCTGAACCCAAACTGACTGAGCCATACCAACCCGCAGTCCCCAATCCAGGGAGCCCTGTAATAATTTGTTAACTAGGCTTTGGAACAATAACTGCAAAATCTTGTCTGAACAAATATTTCAGGTGATTGGAGATTTCGATTGAAACTGCAAGTGCTCGACAGCTACTGACTGGCCAGTTCCCATGTGTGCGATGGACAATCGAGGGGTGGGGTATGTGGTCCCAGTTTCATCATTACCGTTCTGTGTCTGGGCCGTTTTTGGCGATAATCATCTTTAGCTTCCCTAGTCCGCCCACGGGCGCTCTGTCCGTGCCTGTTGTAAATTGCAGGAAGAGCCTCTTCTGCTCGTCTGTAAATGAGTGGACGATTTCCCAGAACTCCCTGGTGAGAGAACACATGACCCTGATTTTAGTTTGGTACCGTTATCCCTGGCACAAACACCGTTGATGATTTGTATTAAAACCACAGGGGAATTGATGTCGGGAGCCCTATAGTTTCATTCCTGGTGGCTATGACCCAGGAAGTCCACGTGTGCACCTTTATCTGAAGGAGACAGTTTTAAACATATAAAAGCCTGTGTTCATCACGACATTATTTACAACTGGCAAACCTCTGTGTCCAACAATAGGAAACAATTATGTAAACTGTGGTATATTCACAATATAGAATCAGTAGTGAACAAAAGACAAAATCCAAAACTCAGATCCTAAGGCTTGAAAATGACTCAAAGTGCAACTCAGAAAAGAGAACTCTGGCTGTCTTCAAACATCTATTTCATTTATCCCATCCGTCTTTATTTAACTCTTTGTCTACTTGCACCTTACTCAACTTTGGGGGGGAAAGGTAATACAGATTAAGGACCAAAGAAAAAAAGGGAAAATCCCAACCCACATAAAGAATAGTTAGTAATATGCAAGCATACCATTTTTAGATGAACTAGAACATTTTTATCAATAGCATGTCTTGTGGTGGGGAATTATTCTGTTATTTCTGCTGCATAGACGTGTTTTAAGATAATGAATTTGTCCCTGGAATTCCCAAAGCCCCTGAGGTAAAATTCA